TATATTTCTTTTCTTTTTCTTTATTACATTCTTACTTTTCTTTTTTTCTTTCTATTCTTCACCTCTTTTTTCCCTTTTCCCTTTGCACTTTTTCTTCTTTCTTTCATTTTTTTATCTTTTCGTTTGTATTCGTTTTTACTATTGTAATTATAATCTTTAATAAAATTACTTTTTAAAAAGTCATAATTTACAGGTCATAAAAGCTTATACCTTTTAATGAAATTTGTTAGTCAGAAGAAGTTGTACCAAACTCCTGATTTTTTAATTAGCCTGGGTCACCTGAGATCAACTGAACAAACTGACCCAGGCTGCATTCCAGAGATGCTCAGAATGAGTCCGAGTGATACAAGTTGGGCTGTTCCCATGACTGAGCTTTACTGCAACTCAGCAATGAAGCAGTTGTGCTGTTTGCCATTTTTATCATGGTGTGGTTTCAGGGCAGCAACTGGTGGATTTCTTGCTGTCTCCTCCCCTCCCACCCTACGTCAACAGTCCACCTCTTCTCGATGTATGGATATCGGTGTGATATAGGGGCACTTCACGGAAACCCACCAATGAGCAAAAGGTCCTTGTCATCTTGGGATTGGTTTGCCATGGATTAAGGCTGTCTTCCTGCTTTGCCTGGAGTTGGCCAGGATGCTGTCTGAGGTGGTGTTGAGGAATGTAGAAGAAATTGTCAAGAAAGAAAAGAGACCAACATGGAATGAAAATTAATATTTATGGGATCCAGTTATGCTCTTGGGAAAAGACCAGAAGAACCCATCCGTCCTCTTCAGTTATCCTTTCTGCTGTTAGGTTGATCCTGGGGCTTTTGCACTTAATCTGTATCTCTAAGCCCAAAAGATCCAGCATGAACTTCAAATGGCAAATAACATGACCCTGTAGGAACCATCTTACTCCAGCATAGTAAATCCAAGGGAAAGCTCTAATACTTTTTTGGAGAGGTGAGGTTGGTTTGGACATGGGATTATCAGTCTCCTGCAAGACCTGGTCCCATGTCCAACCCTTCCTAACACAAACACACACAAAGGCTGCACAAGCCAGGTGTTCAGTCTATTTTTCAACCAAAGACAAAATGGCAAAGGCCTGCAGAAGATCTAAGAGACCAATAGGAGCTGGACAATTCCCACCTCTGTCAAGCCCAACACAGCTGGGTAAGACAAAGGAGGCAAGAATTACACAGATTTTGGTAAGATGCCTTTAATGTCTGGGGAAAATATGGAATCTTGGAAACTATCCTAGGAATTTTCCAGCTTCATTTATAGTGAATTCATTAAGGCAAGTCTCAATGTATACTTTGAGATGTTTTTCCCCAGATCTTTCTTCACTTGGGCTGAGTTCCATTTATGAGATGAGTTGTTAACTGACTCATCTGCTATCTCTTGACTGTTGATATCTGTGGTCTCTTCCATTCCTTTCCCTGCTTCCCCACAATCTCTCATAGCCTGTGGCTACATCATCATCTCCAGCAACTTCACCAAGGCACTGTAGATTGTCCATATGATAAGATTTGTGTCAGAAGGAAAACACTTTCACATTAGAAAAACTAGAGCCAATTTTAGGCTGACACAGCAGAGATGGGGGATGAGATAGAGATGACATCATGACATCCCTCAAAAATGGCTGGTAATTAAAAATAAAAAATAGTAAGGGCTTCATGCAGTAACAAGTTAGATGTATGGATGAGCAATCAAGAGAAATTAAAATGAGGACGGTTTGATTTGATTTTCAACCACCTTCCTCTGAACTAGTAGCCTCCAGATACTCAAGATTTTAATCCAATCATCTTTATCCAGCACAGGCAAAGATTAGACTTTGAATATTTATACCCCAAAAGGGGACTAGAAATCTCCATAGTTCTTCGTGGGCAGGAAAGGTTCACCCCTATTCTAACATACAAATAAAGAGGGGAAAATGGTTATGTACATTTATCTCCATATATGGTCAAGGAGACTAGTAGTCTATGAAATTTATGCCCCACTAAATTTGTTAGACTTTGAAGTGCACCAAAGCTCTTCCTTGGTTTTGAAGATTTAACATCATTAATCTTCTGGAGTACTGTTTAGCTGCTTCGACTATTTGCCAAATGTTTGCTGTCCTGAAATATTTTAGGATTTAAAGCTGACATGAAGTTAGGTGTGTATACACACCCAAACACACACCCCAAATTCTCACAATAGGTATCAACATTCTCGGAGTAAGTATCAAAAGGTCCAATGCCCTTAAATTTTATATATCCGAGTCTGAAGTATAAGATCAACTTCAAACAGCAGATTCAGAACTTTAATTACAAAATCTGGCGTTCCACATTTCACAAGGTTTTAGCACTTAAGAATATTCAATTCAGTCTAGGTGGAGAACTCGGCTGCCATATTGAAAGCACCTCCTCATTTTCATTTCCCCTTCTGTTTTTCAAACTGGCTGGAACCAAGAATGTTCTGAAGAAGGCAGGGATTCAGATGTGACAGTTTATAATATGTCCTTGGTACAAAGAATGAAAATGTCCTTAATCACCACTCTAGAATTGTGGCTGGGTGGAAGAATCAAGAAATGTCAGGCTTCCCGCTTTGACAAAACCTGAATCCCAGAGGAAACATAGCCAGCCTTCTGTTGTCTTCCAGGAATTTCAGATTTCCCAAGGAGGCATGAACATGCCTCATTTCAGTTAACCTTGTGCTGGCCATATCTCCAAATCAGTATTGGCTATCTGGACCTCCTAGGACAGTGTTGTCCAAACTTGGCCACTTTAAGATGAGTGGACTTCAAC